AACTACCCCAATGCCCAAGCATTTTAAAGCGAATGAGGATCACTGAAGCAGTAGTTTAGCAAGGCTCGACAGAGCCGGCTGATCTTCAAGGCTTGGTAGCAGCCAAGGTGTTTCCAATATCGATTACAAATCTGTATCTAACATCACCCTTTCCAAGTCTCTCCATCGCTTTGTTCACATAATCCATCGAAATAACTTCGATGTCTGCTTTTATGTTGTGTTTTGCTGCAAAATCAATCATCTCTTGTGTCTCTTTCATTCCTCCAATGCCACTCCCAGACATCGTCTTCCTTCCTGTTATTTCACGACATATATATAAAGTACTTGTCAGCTAATCTAGACTAGAAATCAAACTCCAAGACTGTCCTTATGTAATGTTTTATGGTTACCTATGATCAAAGAAAAGACAGGTAATTCAAGTGGCTCGTAGGGTGCGCCCACCATAATAAGCTTTCCATGGGATTTTAGAAGACCAAGCAATGGCATAATTGGATGAACAGCAGAGACTGTGTCAATGATTCCATCAAAAGTACCCATGGCGGCCTGCTCGAATCCGGAAACCCCCCGAAGAACAATTCAATTCCAATTTTTCTTTGAGCAAAATTAGCTAAAATAGCATCCAAATCACTAAGTTTACTTCAAATTTAGATAGTTATTTGAATATTACCTGCATTTTGTCTTGGTCACGGCTAGCCAAAAACGAATCAGCACCAAGATGTTCCAAGGCATCAGTTTTTTTATTAGGGGACGTGCTAATAACTGTTACTTTGGACCCCAAGGCCTTGGCAAATTTAACAGCTACATGACCCAGACCACCAAGGCCTACAATGCCGATGTGCTTTCCAGCTTCACCCAATCCAAAATATTTCAGTGGACTGTAAACAGTGATTCCAGCACAAAGCAACGGAGCTGCAGCGTCAAGGCGCATGCCATCAGGGATCCGGACAACGTAGCGTTCATTCGCAACCATTGAATCTGCATAGCCTCCGTATGTCATTGTTCCATCATAGTGAATTCCATTGTAGGTTAGTATCACTTTAGGACAGTAATTTTCCAGGTCATTGGCACAGCTCTCACAGCTGTGGCAAGCACCAACCATGCATCCCACTCCCACTTTATCTCCCACCCTAACCTTTTTCACTTTGCTGCCTACTTCAGTCACTTCCCCTACAATTTCATGCCTGCAAGTTATGGGGATTTCTGTTAGCATCTTGGCATTAATGGAATGGGTGTGATTTTTTGTTAACATACATTAAGATATTGATCAGATGTACTAAAACATCTTAGTGATTAGAAAAAGCTTTGATAATAAGGTTAATTATAAATTTTAGTCAAATAAACAAAATGAGAAGGAGTAATGGATTTTGAATCTGCATGGTATGGGTGTCTGGGCCAGCATTTTGTGGGCCTAAGGCCGAAAAGGTCTCTAGATTAGGCACTTGAGAGGATCACCGGGCAACTCAAAAACTATCCAGGGTTGGGCATAGGCTTTTTTGGGAATGAGTTAGTGTCTAAGTATGCCATATGGACCGGTTCTTTACAAAGCTACTTTCTACACGTGTGGTATGAAAAATAGCTATGCTGCTCTTCCTCTATTCTCAGCCATTTGTTGTAATTTTATTTGATTTAATAATGCAATAAGAAATAAAAATTCCTCAATATTATTTATTTTTAAAATAAATAAAAAATCTTCTTCAGTTATACCTAATTCTCCCCCTAATATTATTTATTCCACGTCTCATAGAATAGTTATAAAACTTATAATGATTAAATTACCACTCTTAAATTTATAAAATTACAACCCTATTCATATAAAATATTTTTTTCTCTCTCTTCTTCTTTTTCCTCTTTCTGTCAGTTGCTCTATCACGGTTTCTGTTTTATGAATTTGAGGTTCCATGAATTTGCTAATATTTTTTTTTGGTATAAATTTTACTAAATTATGTAAAGAGTATTTTGTTGCTTTAAAAAATAAATATTATTATAATAAAAAGTTTTAATTTATAATTATATATTATAAAAATTAATATTTTAAGTTTAGATATTAATTAAAATTATTAATATCTTAATAATATTATTATTAAATTATAAATAAAATATTTAATATTTAAAATATTAATAATTAAAGTATACTAAAATATTAATATTTAAATTATTAATTATTAATATTTTAAAAAATTATAAATTATAAATATTTAAAAAATAAAATAAAATAAATAATCATATATTATCATAACCTGATGCCTACCTATAATTGTCATGCGCACTTCGACATTATCAGGAAACGACCAATTTTGGTGGGTGCAAGATAATACCGACTTTGATAAAGAGGAATAATATGTCTAGTACTAAAACCCAATTGGGATTAGCCGATTAGGCATGTTTTGTCAGAGTTTCTTCTTATCATGTGTGAACAAAACCCACCAAAAATTTATCTGCTCATAGGAAAGAGACATATTAGTGCATTTCAAGAGGGATGGAATTTATCCCATAATGAGAAAAGTGGGTGGGTGGGAATGTTGCTGTTTCCTTTTCATTATGCAATGGTCCAGGAAAGAAAAAAAGAGTTGAAGATCAAAAACTACTACTAGTATGAAGAGGAGAACCAGAAAGAGATGATAAGACTTAAATGGATGGTCTCACCCGGGAACCATAGGGTAGATGGAGAGGCCCCATTCATTTTTGATATTGTGAAGGTCAGAATGGCATATCCCACAATACAACACCTTAAACCTCACATCGTCTTCACCGGTTGCCCTGTACTCACGTTATCATATTCAAAGAATTTATTACCAACATGAAAGCTTAACCAAATGTTAAACAAATAAGAAATACAAGTATATAACCTCAAATTTATAGAACAGAAACATCAAGAGAGAGAGAGAGAGGTAGGCATGCATCTGAAACTAATAGAACTAGCATATAGTAACAAAGAGAAATTGAGAAAATTCACCTTCTGGAGAAGTTGAAAGGAGAGAGATGACCAGATGCGTCCCTGGCAGCCCAGCCGAAGGTCTCTACAGGGTGCTCTTTTTCTGGTGAGTTCGCCATTTTCGACCCAATTTCCAAAGTGCGATAGGCGATGAGAGAAAATGAAAGTGCCTTGTACAGGTTAGCCTCTTATCATGTCATTTTAAGTGCTGCCTCCCTTAGGCTTTCGTAGCTGACTGCTGACGTGACATCTGAGCTAAATGCTGACTAAAAGTATATGATTGCAATCCTGATTTTTTTTGCTTCTTAATTTCCTGGTTTAAATTCAATTACTCAAGTTCATTTAAAACAAAAGGGAAAATCAACTTTTTTTCCTTATGAAGGTTATATTATTTGAATTTACTTTATTTAAATATTTTCTTTATGTTCATTTACGTGCCTTTTTCTTGCAATTTTTTTACTTAAAAAATCAAGAATAAATCAATGAAGTGACAACTAAAGAGAATCTTACATAAATGAAATGAAAATTAACTTGTTATCTCTAGTTTCATCATAATGGAGGATAGAAGTTTTAATTTTATCGAACATCTCTCAGTCGATAGATTCTCTTAGTTTGATTCTATTAACGTTGTGTATTTGTCACTTTTTCAATTCACAGCAGAACAAACAATTAAAGCTTAGTTTTGAAACATTCGTTCCAAAGAAATTTAATTATTAATTATTAATTATAAGTATATTACAAACATCTCTTTCGAATCCTATGTAATGGCTATGTTCTTTAGGAGTAATTAATTAAATAATTAAGATCTTCAATCTTCATATTTATATAAACAATACGTACATAATTACTTCCAATTACTAGTATTATGTTTCACCTCACCAGCCTGCTTGAGGAAAAACCAAAGGCATACCAACTGTTCCCAAGAGGATTTATCTTCCTTGGCCCTTTATGATTTAAGTTTTTCTTTTTTTTTCCTGATTTCTAAACTTCCCTATATATTGGTTTTACAATTCACATCCTTCTCAAAAGAGTAAATTAAGAACATTATTGGACAACTTCAACTTTAATGCTTTTGTCCACATATTTAGAAGTGAAGCAACATGGTGAGTGGCTACAGGATGATACCAAATATTAAATAATACCAAACCAAGAAAAGGAAAAAGAAAAGACATTAGACAAAAACTTGTAGTTCCATGTGTGTTGATATAAAAAAATCTTAATGACATGTTAGACTTTGATTTGTTGGATTTATTGTTCATGTTGTAAGAGAAGTTATGTAAAGATTTTCCAGTAACCTCGAGGAAAAGGACATACTCAACTAGTATTTTTTTTTAAAAAAAATTTAACTTATATTTTTCCATTTAGATATTCCTTAATTTTGATTAATTGTTTTCATCATATTTTAATCAGGTTCGATTCTCTCCATTGTTTTTTAACACATCCATCATCACCATTTATACGTGTAAGATTCAATTTTAAATTGTAAATCTCATACATATAAATAAAAATTATTTTAAAAGTGCATTCAAAAGTGATACATACAAAATAGTGAAAGAGATCAAGTCGCACACCTTTAATTAGTTGTTCCTTTGGCAAGATTGTAAGACAAGACTGAAATATATTCAATAGAAGTTCTTTCGGGAAGTTGGCACACTACGAATTTTACAGGCGTACACCTTCTTCGGCCTTTGAAAGATTTGGCCCTTTGTGTTTTGCGATGGCACTTTACCATAATTTTTGCATTCTGAACAAATAGATTACTGCTAATTTATCGATAAAATTTCTCGACCAGAATCAAGCAATAAAGGGGCAGGATTAATTAAGATCCTAGGAACTAGGAAGTCCTAGGTTCAAGTCCTAGGTTCAAGTCCCGGCTTTTTTTGAAAGGTGGTTTTGTGCTTTTGTTTTGTTTTTTTTTAATCTGGTCTTTTGGCGTATTTGATGTAATTTTCTTTTGGACTGCTCCCCTCCTGTTTGGTAACAGGGGTCGTTTGTCCTGGAATTGGAAGTTGCCAAAACCAGAGATTTTAAAGAAAGGAGTGTTCAGAGCAACCCGATGAGCCACACATTAATTGAACCACATTTTTGCTTTAATTTCGCCTTTGACGTACTAACTTACTATGCATATAAGCCACAATCAGGCTTGAATCAAAATTTACTCGCAACGCCTATAAAAAAATTACAGCCAGAAAGAATATCAACTATCATCTATTTGTATATTGACTAATTGATTAATTTGTTGGTCCTTCTAATCGAATGTAGTCATACATTACTGAGTCGAATGCGCCCGTGCTTCTTGTCTGACTTAGAAAGATTGTATTTTCCCCTTTCTGAAATTGATTACCAGGCACAATAATACTATACAATCTGTATAATCCATGAATTCCATGCCTAGCTACGGCATTATCGCTGCCTATTAGCCTCGTTGTAAAATAAGCTCGATCAGAATCTGGATCGTTGAATCGAACCTATGAATGCAACGGTAAATGGTTCATCAGTAAAAACCAGTAAGTGAAAGACTACCCTGATAAATGATGGCGGAGGATGTGAGACTGATCAGGTTTATACCTGTACTTCAGCATAAGAAGCTGATGCCAAGGCCAATTGGAGAGTGTAATTTCCTGTCTCGCTCACATCTTCGAGATTGTACTTAATCTGCCATGTGGTTGGCCGCTTTGTACTGTTCCCTCCATCCCTGTAATTGAAAATATTAGGACCAAACCAAACTCCCCTGAAAATATACAGGGATATTCAGGAATTAGTAACTTGAAATTAGCACCTGGTAACATGAGCATAGAACCAATTCCGAGAATAATTACTAACGCCCACAGTGTAGATAAGATCACCGTGACGATAAATATCTGAGTAGCGTTCCCACAATCCGTATTGTCTATATCTGCTCGATTTTAGACATAATTGTAAGTTGATGAAACCTGCGTTGAAATCTTAGACAGAAAGGTGTGACCATGTCGTTAGAGTGCTTACCTGTCCACGTCATCTATGCATATTGAGTTCATAAGTGTTGGGTATGGATCCGGTACGTAGAACTCGGCAGCTGTCCGGTCAGGAATCCCGATTTCCCACAATGTCGGACCATTTCTTGGAGGATCATATATAAGAGTACCCAAGTTGATGTCATTTCCTGCATTCAGAATATGTTAATGAATGAATCTCCAATAAAAGCTAGTTGAAATGGGCCAGAAAGGCAAGCTTAAGAATAGATGTTAAGCCCACAAAACCAACAAGTACACTAATTTGGAGATTAATTTTACCTGGTTCGACAGTAATGTTGGGATCTGATTTGTAGTTTCCAATGAAACCAGGGACCCATGCATACAAATTATACTCCCCTGGTCGAACATTTTCTATTTTGAAACGGCCATTCTGGTCGGTTTGAGTCCAGAATTGATAGCCCTGAAAACAGAAAAGACGACAATAAAAACCAGTCCTAGTTCCCCGTTACACTTGATGTATGTTTATATCTGAAATGCAACTTTGTTAACGACATTAACCTTTCCTTCTGTTTGCCATGATCCTGCCTCACCAGGTGGTGCCAACCCCACAAAGGCAGATTGCGCCTGCATCAAGTCATTATCCATGTATCTGAACCAAGAAAATTAAAGATAAACCCTTATGCAACAATATATTATATGATGATGACAAAACTGAAGAAAAAAGGAACATGAAATACCGGTCTCGCACTAGTAATTGACCACTAACTTTTCCTCGTCCATCAGCATTAGGAAAATCTTCTGATCCGGTGAAATTGTACGGCCAGCTTTCAATTTCTTGATTCAACTAATGGTGCACAAAAAGTGACATTAACATATATAGTTAGCTGATCGAGATAATTTAAGATTTTAGGTTACGAAAAGCAGCTAACAAACCTGGCGTTTCCCGTCTTCCCAGAGTGTCTTGCGAGCATCTTCTGAAGCAGAATTAAGATAGATTAGAACAGGACCAAAGACCTTTTTCCAAGGCTCTCCTTCGTTATAAGATGTTTCTATATCCTTTCCGGCATAATGCGTACTAACAAACATCTGCATTAAAAACCAATAAAATTTTAGAAATGGAACTGTGCTTTAAAAGCTTTTACGTTTGTGTATTGCTTATAGGTAGACTTACGGAGAGAGCGGTGGGACCAGCGTGAGAAGTGAGGTCCTGATGGTGAGGGCCACCAGTACGGAACTCATTGCTGGGGGTGATTACCCAGAAACCCACGGCTGGATTATCGTCGGATTCGGCTATCCACCCATGAAGCTTGTTATCTTTGTTTTCACAAGAATATTGGTACTTGTCATCAACCTGCGGCCCACATTATCACGGGACTGTAAAATAATGTACTCGGAAAGACAAAGACACAGAAAAAAAGAAGCCATGTTTTTTCAACGCCTAAAAGGAATTGATTCCCCAAAAGGGTCCTACTTTACCACACCAAAATTAGAATAAAACTTAGTTTAGAGTCTCGAAGAAAAAGAAAATAAACACCTCTCCTCTAAGTCTTGGATCGGTTGGATTGGTCAATAGAACAGCTTCTTTGAAGGCAAGAGTCTGACTGCGATCAGAGTTTCGATCTCGTCCCATAGGCATGACCCTTTGTCTGGTGTCTGATAACGCCATGAACCGAAACCTGATTCAAAATGTCGCAGGAAACATTGACATTATTTTTCCTGTTTCGACAAAAAGAGATCTTGATTATATAGTTATTAAGGGTTTCATCTTTGTTTTACTTGTCTTCCTGGAGTTTGAAAGCAATCCTTATTTGATACATTTGAGCAGCTGGAAATTCTGCCAGGCGCTCGAAGATACCGTACATGTAGACCCCGGAAACGCCTCGGCGGACTATGTACCTGGAAGAATGTTAAAATAAATGCAGGGAAATCAAAAGTCGTTCTTCTAAGCTGCACATTCAATTCTTGGAGAATGTTTTGAGGTCTTTAACATTGCATACCTTTTGTCTATGTTTAAGGGAACTGCCTTGCGATAGTCTGTTGTATAATTCCAAGTTTTGCTAAAGGAAAGCTCCACTAAATCGTCAGTTTGTGTTATGACCTTGAATTGTTCTGTTTCTATTCTGCAGGAGCGAGCAAACAGTGTCAATTAAAGAAATGAAAGATAGATATTCATTTGCAGCAGCACAAAAGGGTGGTTGTGAACTTACTTGTCAATTGCATTGTCATCCCAGACAATGTCCCAGTACCTAAAATATATTCCATTTTTTATCCCCATCCCCCCCAAAAAAAAGAATCTTAGAAAAGATGAACATGGTGTTTCCAAAACTGTGAAGTTGAAAAAACAAAAATAAAGGAAAAATAGAATAAAGATACAAGAGAGGAGAGAACTTTTGGGAGTAGCTAAGAAACGCATACCCTTTATTTTGGTCCTTGTTTCTACTTTCAAGCACATTATCAAATCCCTTATATTTTAATCCTATCAGATAACCATTTGGATTTCCGATGGTGACTTGAACAAGACCATTATCAATAACCACCTGAAAAGATCAGAATAAATAGAAGAAAAGATTAAGTAATTCAATGCTTTTAGAAAAAAGAGTCATGCTTCATGCATTTAAGAATTAGAACTGTGGAAAGCATAGTGAACCCTTTTATACTTCACCTATTGCAAATTCACTTACTATTTAATTTTCTTTTCATCACCAATTATAAACAAAACTTAGAACCTTATAAGAGGGGACTGTCATCTTACTCTGTTATCATCACTTGTTTCCAGCTGGACTTGAAGAGGGTCAGTGGTGTCACCTCTTAGGAGTTTTCTGCAAATCAAACATCCAAAATTTTATTTTTTTAAATGTCCTATTTACTGATGTTTAATTTGTCCATGAAATGATGAAAAGAAAACATGAATAGCCAAATATTGATGTTCCAAGAGAGGGGTAGAGAGGTAAAGTTGGCGACTTTTGGGCATATAAAACAATTTCAAAAAAAGACAAAAAAAAAAAACCCTTATTAATAGAATTACCAACATTCCTAACGAACAAGCTTACTATGTAACTCTTAGATTGGACATTTTTATTCACAAAATTTGAACTCAAAATTTTTATTTGAGAATTTTATAACAAAGACAAAAGAACATAAACATATAAATCCATGCATTCACATGCTATGTTAACAAAAAAAAAGGGAAGGTCAAAGAAGTTTATTGCCACCCAAAAAAAGCATTGCCACAGAGAAGAGGAGCTGTTGGGATACCAAACTCTTAGAACTTATGTCACGGGTCACAATTCAATCATGCCCGGTACTTCAGGTTAAGTGTGAAAAAGTCATGGTGTCCAAAGCCGATAGGCCTAATCAAGTCATGAGAGAGAGAGAAATTTTAAAGAGATGGAAGAGAAGACAGAGAACAACAAAACAAAGAAAATTACTGGAAGTATATTAAAATTTTCAACCCATAACTCCTTATATTTAACCTGGTGCGGCATAAAGCAACAGGGCATGCGGACTAATCAACTGTCTTAAAAGCAATGCACTCCCTCCTTCCCTCGCTCTCTCTCTCTCTCATCAGCAGAAAAAGCGCAGGGACAGAAACATACAAAATAGAACAGGAAAAAAAAAGTTTGGGAAGAGCGAGAAAAGGGTAGGGGAAGAACCTGGCTGAAAGTTGTTCAGAAGAAGCAGATAGAAAGAGTAATAACTCAATGGTCATTACTAGCCAGAAAACAAGCTGTGTCAAGTGGCTCCTATTCGCCACCTTCTCCATTATTCTTGATGAACCGGAGCTGCAAATTTATGAACTAAAACATAAACAGGGAAATTCTATTCAATAAGAGGATTCCGAATGTTCATGCTTTTAAGGACATAAAATGAAAGAAATCCAAAAATGGTAAGGAGAGCAAAAGAGCTTTCAGCTAATCAAACTCACCATAAAAGGAAAATCCACTGAGCTTGACAATGTCAATCTTTTGAAAGCGAAAGAGTAGAGAGAAGGAATCAATGGATTCTGTGATTGGACAAAAGGTTGGTTTTTCCGGGGTTGCACTCTCGGATTTTTCGTTACAAAAATTAAACAAAGGATCCTTAATGGCGTTCTGAAACGTGCGCAAGACATAATGGGCACAGCCCGATGGGGTTTATATATGTAGTCTAATGGCAAAACAGCGACTCCTGATTCTTAGTATTAGTTTTACAGTCACGGCTGTCTTTTATTGTATATTATTCATTTTAATTGGAGTTGTTTGACCGGGACTATAACTTCTCTAGGCAAAAGTAAACTGCTCTACAATTACCGAAAAAAAAAAAAGCGATAACTAGAAGTTGTGATAATATTTGATAAACTCCAAAGTCTTATATCATGTAGAAAATTATTTGGTAGATTTTAATTCATTTTTGATAATGTTTTTATTAAATAAAAATAAAGTATAATTCTCTTTAAAATTTTATGAATTATATTAAAAGATAAAATAAGAAGGTATAAAAATTTAATTAAAGCTCTTTCATAACGGGTATCAAGCACGGCAGTAAATGTGTGTGAAAAGCAGCAGGTCCAAAATCTTTCTAACGAGGTTTTCACGGTTTAATTAAACGCCAAATTCTTGGGTCATTTAGAATTAGTCATCAGAGGGTAGCTTTGTCTTAAGGAAAAGTATCACGTGCCCAATGTTCCTTGTTCCTGGCTTTGACAATTTTGGATACCAAACTGGCATTTTGTTCACCAAAATTTAGGTCTGGAAACAACATAATTCACAAATGGTAGGAAAAAAAATACTACTCGTAATTCCGTTCCTACTGTTTACTTTGAAAGTTCCAACAAGGTTTTGATCCAATGAAGAAATTTGAATGAAATGTGAAAGTTGAAAAACGAAAAAAGAATAGTCAAAATTGAGAAAAGGGTGAAATAGAAAAGGTTTTGACGAGAAAACAAGAATATTGAGCGGACAAAGTATTCAACTTGTTCTGTTATCAAACAAGATTTGCACAAGGTTCATAGAAAGCCCTGACGATTCGAGAGCAATTCTTATTATGGAAGTAAATTAATATAGAATTTTAATTAGGGGTTGGTTTAGCTTCATAAAGAAAGTCATTAAAATCATACCAAGAGTAACAGTGACACAAATCTCAGACCATATCATCACCAGATTTGAGATTCAAATCATTAAGTGGTGTAAATGCATTCCACGCTGTTTAATACATCTCCCAATCAACCTTTTTTATTTTTTTTCTACCGTGCTGCCTACACTTAAATGGCTTTATTCTTAGATTACTAGCCAATTAAAACAACTTCGCCTTTTTTCTCTTCCTTGCATCTTCGGTCATTGAGCCTTTGAGTAGCCATCATTGCCTATAGAATTTCTAGTTTCGGCCCCTTAATGGAGTTGCAAAAGCCTGTTAAGACCCTGAACAGATTCCAAAAAATTAATCCAAATAAGCAATGACGATTTGGGAAATTTTCAGGTTTGAATTTAGATAACACTTTGGCCAATGGAAACTCCACATGGCATCAACCAACCCCAACGCTTAGATTGCCAAGGTCAAAAACAACCAAACCTTGCAGTCCTGCTACTGTGACTTTTACAACACCTTGTGCTGCACTCAAGGCGCAAAACATATAAATATGGGCAGCTCAATCTCCCGGATACCTTTCCCATGCCAATTTATTCTTTCCCCTTTACCAGAACCACCACCATTCGAATCTCTGCTTTTTAACTTAATTTCAGTACCCTATTTTTGCAACTGCAGTTCCTCTAGCAGGGCCACAAAGCAAACAAGAACAAGTGCAGTCAACACGAGGACATTTCTTTTTCATTGAACAGTTAATTATTTAATGGATGAAGTAGATTAATTTAAATGATGAATCGACAACAACGAATGGGATTTATCTTATAAATCAAAGGAAAAAAAAGTTGGATTTGGATTCCAGCCGAGTGACGATATCTAACCAATGGCAAAATTGGTTTTATAATTAGTCTAGTTATTATATCCATATGCCAATGTCAATTCTGGTTAGTTAAAGTGGTTGAATATTTTTTGCACATAGGTCAAAAAGTCGTTAGTTTAGTGGTTGCAACGTGAGATTGTTTGATTAAAGGATTTGGTTTGTTTCAATGGTTGAACTAAATCTTGAAACTTGAAAGACGTCATTTTGTTTCTTCGTCGGTGAAAAACAGACGACAAATTTGATTGCTGTAAAGCCTAAAGAAGGTCTTTTTTCCTTCTTTTTCTTCAGTTTTTCATTCATTCTAGATTGGTTTACGTTTCTCCTTACGTTCACTTTCTCTTCAAACAGCTGACAATTGGACAAATTCTGCTCGTCTTTTAACTAGTTTAATTCTATTCTTTACGAGTCTTGAGCTCATTTTTGACAATCTCTACTTTCAATTATGCTCAAGGATGAAAACAATGAAGACTTAATTGTACGGTCATAAATATGTTAATTTTCAACGATTGTACATAGATTTTACTCAATTGATTAGAGGATTAAGGTTTTTAATTTTTTTTGTCTATGTGTACATTTCATCATAATCAATATCTTGTTAAGATAATTCGTAGGTATTTTTATATGATACATAATGATAACGTTATATATAAAATATATATATTTGTTAAATGGTAATGATACTCATACCTAACATTTCATGGAAATTAAGCAATTTATGAGAATAACTTATATCTTGCTGCATGCATGTTGATAATTTTCCATTCTTTTGCACGTTTGTGTTTTGGCCTAATGTTCTTTCTTCATGGAAAATGTACGGTTGCCCAGTCCTTTAAAGTGGCTGCTTAACCAATTCTTTGGCAAAAATTTTGGTTAAGATCCAATACAAATATAGCCACGTTTTAAACCTAAAATAATATTTGGACCGAGTCCTACCTGCAGCAATTTCGATTGGAATTGTATTTTCCTAATGCGGGGTCTTTATGGAGACTTCATCGTACGGTTCAATTTCCAATTTAATTCTATCTATAAAAACAAACTTATTCCATGTAATTCAAAAATTAGGCACAAAAATAAGATAAACATGTTTTCGCACCTGAAAATAATATTTGTTTAATGATGTTGAATTTCGATTTTTGTTTACCAAGGATGTATTGATACATAATCTGGTCTACCATCCTAGATACAGAGTTAGAAGATAAAATGAGAATGGCAACCTGCAGACTGTTGGGTGTGTGTCTTTTCACTTGCACCACACACTCGATCGTCGAAAACCGCTCTGAGAAATACAATGCAACTAAGTGCGGAAACTAGTCACACTGAATAAATGTTGTTCGGGAAATACAATGCGAAATAGTGAACACAAAGTGGGCCCGCACAAATCCTGAAATATCGGCTCTGACAGGAATGCGCCCGCCACCACCCGTCTGTGCTCCAGATGCGTGCTCGATGCTCCTGTGATCGCGTACGTGCAATCCGCGATCACTTCCGACTTCCTGACGGCCCGAAATGCGCCTCGGAAGTCCGCTGTCCCGTATCTCCAAAACCGTGCGTCGGATGACGAAACCGACGTCGCCGTTGGAACCGCAGCGCGTCAAAATCCCCGGGGTAGCATCCCCGTCGAAATCCGGGTCGGTCGCCGGAGGTTGCCGGAATCCGGTCACCGGTCGTCTTCTCCGGGAACTGGTTTTCGGTCAAACTCGACCAAAACCAACGCGACCAGAACTGATGCGTTAGCCTCCTCCTTACAGTGCTCTCCGCGCCAACCGTCGCTTGAAATACCTCCCGGATCGGTGAAACCGAGCTCTCCAAGTTTCGGTCGCCGGAATCCCGCCGTCCGGCAACACCACTGCCCAAGACCGGGCTCTCCAAGCTCGCCTCAACACGCCGTGCAAGGATCCGCAGGCTGTGAGAATCACCTCCCTCACCGGAGAGAGATCCGAGCCCTCCAAAGGTAGCCCTCTCCTCTCTCTCTTTCTTTGTTTCGATTTGCACCCGCGAGCTCCACACCAAGCGAACGCACGGACCCCTCACCAAAGTCAAAAATGGTGGGGTTACAGTACGTCATAAAATAACACAGACACCTAGTGCTACGGTTATGTAGATTGACCGACGTCTTTTGTTCTATTAGGTCCCCGGAGAAAACTTCAGCTTGGGTCTCACAGCATGAACAGAACAGAGTGCCCCCATAAATAAACACACCTCGACATGGTGATACAATGACCATTACAACCTTGCATCTCAGAGAAGGAGAGTAGAAAGCTCATAATATACTTCAACTTCACCATGTAACACACAGCATTAAAGCACACAACCACATGCCTCGGACAATCACAAAGCATTCATAAACTTCAGCCACATAGCACCATACCGAAATAAGGCACCATATAATCATACAAATAATAAAAGACCAACATCAGAACACAACCAGTGTACAGGAAGAAATTAACCAGCTGGTGCCAATGGGAACAAATGAAAGAAGGGAGGAGGGCTGAGCACCATTCGATGGCCAAGCATAAAACATTTTCAGACCCGTCCAGTCCGGAAGGACAAACAAGAAAGGACAAGCAATCGCGTTACATCAACTATTTTTGCTAAGGGTGATGCCACGTGTTATGCTACCTGATACTAGTACTCGCTGTTTTGTGACCAGTCCACCAACATTGTGACATGTGGATTCTGGTGTTTGCGGCTTACATTTCGGGGATTTCGCCGGGTTGATAAATATAATAATAAAAAACAATAAATAAAATGAAAACAGAAGAATCGATCTCAATCCATTTTAATTACTTTATAACACAAAAAAATAAAAATGTCATTTGAGCTCCAACTCGGTATAATCGAATTGATAATAATTAAGCAATTAATATTTTAGATCTCAAACAAAGTTATCTTATCCAAAATAATAAGTTAAATAATACTTTATTTGATCATAATATATATACATACTATAATCCTTTTATCTTGGAATGGATTAAAATTGTCAATCTGCTATTCTTTCTTAAGGTAAATTCTAATTATCTTTGGCTTACCTCTTGAACACGTTTCTCATTAATAGATTAAGATTAGAAGAAAATAATCAGCCTCCTTAGTCATTAAATGCACTTTTCCCATGATTAATATTTTGAGTATAAAAGACGAGCAAAGG